GACTAATGGTCTAATTAAGAAGTCAGGAAAACCTGCAAGCTAATTTTTGACAAGGCTCACTTGTTAGATGGAAATATTCCAGGTTATAGATGATCTTGTGAGCCTTTGCCAGTTAAGTACAAAACCACATCAAGTAAAGGATGATCTGATATCGTCGTGTTGGTGTTGTTCCCAGATCATCATGAAATTGTTGTTCCAGGTTCAACATTGCAAGTGACCAATCACATTATTGTGACGTTATTCTTTTGCGCACCAACCCATTCGTGCATTTATGAAATTCCAATGTTGCAAGGACAATATCAATTCTGCTTAGCGTCTATTAAAGGGTTAGGGTCAGGTTTAGGGTCAGGGTTAGGGTCCATTGATCGGCGGACAAAGGCGGTTTCTCGCAGCTTAAGTACCGTTTTTTGTTTTACGCCGGTTTTTCCCGAAGTCGCAAAAGTATGACATCACAACATTCTGATTGGTCACTTGCAATGTTGATCCTGGAACAACCTTTAGTATGATGATCTGGGAACAACACCAACACGAGGATATCAGATCGTGCTCAAGTAAAACAGGGTAAACATTGGTTTGCTGAACACTTTTATGCTTCCAGATCCAAAGAGTTCTTCCAGGTATGATGTTTTAATTTTATTTAAAAAGGAGAAAAGCCACACACGAGTTTGCCCAAACTCCTCTTGCTTTCTTTGCAGTCAAAATTTGCAGCAGCTTTTATGTCCTTTTGAACCGGCTTAATGGATGTTTGCCTTTTTATGCTCCTCAGCTGGTTTGCCGTGCATGCTGCCTACCTGACCACAGTGCATGACCACCATTCTTTGGAATGAGGATTTGGCTTTTTGGACTTTTTCCTGTGTCTGTTTGGAGTCTTCCTACTATGAAAGCTTTACGCTGTATTTTTAATTAAAAAAAAAAGTTATGTAATTTTAGTACAAATATGCACACTGTTGTATAGAGATTGAAAATGTGACCTCATTCAGGGCTAAAACCGCAAAGGATTCTGGGAACTCGTGGCAAGAGGTACTAGCGCACGCAGGCTTTCAATTGAAATCAGTTACACAGCAATAAAAAGAAA